TTTTGGCCTGTGCCAAAAAAGTGTTGCATGAAGGTTAAACATATTTTTAACTTCAATTAAATACTTTTTGGGAAGTAAAAGTTCAAAATAGGGGTGCATTGTTTTCAAGAAAATGCAAGCACCAAACATTTGTTTACCTTTTTTTGTAAATATGTCAAAAACAGCTTTCTCAAACTGTCAAACTGCCATGAAGAGCTTTTATTAAGGGTATGTTCAATATATTCATTTGTATTTGGAACATATTTGGATCGCATCCGAACGTTATTAAGACTCATTCATACAGAAATTTTGTATGCAAAACTAACTTCTCATTTTCAATTTTTGACCAAAAGGAGCCATAAAGCTGGAAATGTTACACATAATTGGCAATCAGAGACTGAACTAAAAAAAAACACAGAGGTCTCTTATCAACCATCCATTGTTTGTTCATTTATTTTTGATTTTGATTTTAATTTTAATTTTAATTGTTATCTCTGAATATAGGTTTTGCTTTTGAATTAATAAATTTAAATGTTAGAAATATGAAGCATTGAAAGGGACAACAATTTTTGTCATTTTTGGGTTTTTGTATTGAATACATGTTTATTTACATATATTTAAACATGTAATTTATTTTGTTTATTATTGTTTATATATACAATTAAATATTTAACAAAAATTTATAAGTGTAATTTTTTATTAAATTTTACTTTAACGGCAATACGACAGAAGTGACTATTTTTACTTTAACAAAATTGTGGTACTTATTAGAGAAGTTTCAAACAAAATTTATTTTTATATTATTTTAATTAATTGAATTTTTGGCTGACCTGTTTCGAGTATGGCTAAATACCATCATTAGTAGTTTTGGAAATAATTGTTGTATTTAATTATTTGTAAATGGCATTTATTAAATGGTAAGCGCATATACCTATTGCTGAAAAAGACAGAGAAAAAACGGTAATAATCACACCCTTCGGCCTATACGAATTTAACGTGATGACTGTCGGAATCTATAATGTGGCACAGTCATTTTAAAAATACATGGACCAAGTGCTCTTGGGACTTAGTTTCATTATATGTTATAATGACTACATTTGCATTTCATCCGATAACATGGACGAGCACGTGCAACATGTGCGCATCGTGCTACAAGACTTACAGGAATATTATCTAAAAACAAACATTCTGAAATGTGTATTCGCACAAGAAGTTGTAATTTTCCCCGGTCATCATAATAATCACAAAGATATCTGTCCACCAAACATAAAAATCGAGACGATTGCAAATTTTTCGGAACCAAGGCTGGTACATGGGCCACGTTAATTCATTATAATCCTCAATTTTTATTGCCGTTGTATTCCAAAAGCGGTAGAACAATTATTGCTTGGACCGCAGATGCTTGCCGTTTTATTCCAAAAGCGGCAGAACAGTTATCGCATAGACCGCGGATGCTGACATCCAATTCCAGATGTAAATCTCATACTCCACGTTAATGCCAGAAACTTAGCAGTTGGGGCTGCACTGAATAAAATCAACAATGGACAACTCGAAACTTTAGCGTTTTACTACAAGCGGTTGACAAACACCACAGTCAAATATAGCACGTACGACCGAGAGTTGCTCGCAATTCATTAAGCAGTCAAATATTTTAAACATGAAATAGAAGGTAGTCGTTATACTATATTCACAAATCGATAACATATGTACCATATTTCGACAGAAACCGGAAAAGACATCACCACGCCAGCTGAGACATTTGGGTTACATCGGCCAATATACAACCGACATCATGCTTATAGCAGGCAAGGATAATCCAGTAGAAGATTACCTGTCACGCATCGAAGCTATCAGCAACGAAGACCCGATAGATCTTGATCAACTTGCAGCAAGTCAGAAAACCGACATTGAAAAAAATGATTTTCTGGATCACGCACTTTGATATTCCGAGGCAGATCATAACTGAGCAAGGAAGGCAGTTCGAATCAACACTATTCAACTAATTAGCGAAACTCACTGGTGCCAAGTATATTCGAACTAATCTGCGGCATCCTCAGGGAAATGGTCTGATTTCACCGGACTCTAAAAACCGCAATTAAATGTAAGCCCGAACACCAATTGTCTGACTCAATACCCTTGATCGTTTAGCACTTCTGAATACTTTCAAAGATGACCTTAAAGCAACCGTAGCAGAGATGGTATACGGGACAACTCTACGGCTCCTGCGCGATTTCTTGACACACAAAATGAATGACAAGACCGAACATGAATTTTTAGAGAACATGAAGCATATTGTAATGTATGAATGGATGTATGGGCAATATTCAATCAATGTAATGGCTGAATCACCATGTAATGTGTTAGCCCATTCAGATGTAGACAGGATAGTCAGGTAAAATGAGACGTAATACTTGTCTTGTGAGTGTGTGTATTTATCCCTGCCTGATACGAGTATGCATCCTAAACCTATTAATGCAATCAAGAACAAGTTATCAAGCGGCTTGTTACCGCTGGTACCTAGGCCAGTGTTACTTGGCCAGAAGGAGCGAGAATAAATTCAATAACGCATATATTTCTGCAGTCATAAGTATATTCTTATTTTATTCAACAATAGTTTGGGTATTTATACATTTTTCTAGATTACAGCGATCTCATGACTCCGCCTCTTTATTCCAGACAAAACCTGGAAAAGTATAACCGCAGTCAATCAAAGTGATTGCTGACCTCGCAGAATGCATTGCATTGCGACTACACTGTTTGCTCATTTAGGTCAAACGTCAAAGTTATTATTAGAGTGCATTGACAATA